TCTGAGGATCGCAGTTCGAAGCCAGCCCGGGCAGGAAAGTCTTGTGAGACTCTTATCTCCCGTAAACTACTTAGAAAAGCCGAAAGTGGTGCTGTGGTTCAAGGGGTAGAGCGTTAGCCTTAAGCAAATAAGTTCAGGGACAGCACCCAGGCCCAGAGTTCAAACCTTATAACCAACCAAAAACAAAAACAGAAACAAAAACAAATCTGTGAGACTTAGCTCCAATTAACCAGCTGGAAATGGAGGTTGTGGCTCAAGTAGTAGAGTATCAGCCTTGAACAGAACAAAGCTGAGTGACAGCATCAAGTCCTAAGTTCAAGACCCAGTACCCCCTTCCTCCAACCCCCACCCCTAGAAGTTCAAACTGAGTGTCTCCCATTCTCCCCTTGCTAGAACACTCAGAATCGTTTTCTCTCTGGCTCTCTCTCTCCACAAACCTTGTTTACTGCCATTTCCCAGGGACTGATTTTCCTGGACAACTCCCATTTTCCGTGACTTGGGTTGATGACATGCATCCTAGACTCTGGGCTGTACTTTGTACATTTGCAGAGAGTCCTTGGAGAGCTTTATTTAAAAAAAAAAAAAAAAAAGTTGGGCCTGGAGCTCAGGCCTGCCTGCCTGGAGCCCCAGAGGCTGAGATCGGGAGGTTCAAGACCCATCCAGGCAAAAAGTTAGCAAGACCCCATCTCCACCAACAAGCTGTGTTCCATGGCATATACCTATCATTCCTAGCTATGCTGGAAACAGATACAGGACGACTGTGATCTAGAGCTGGACAAAAGTCATGATACTCTCCCTGAAAAATTAACTAAGAACAGTAAGGGTTAGGGGTGTGATGCAAGTCGTAGAGCATAAACCTAATTTGAATCTTAGTATTAAAGAATTATGTAACTGGCCGGGCGCCAGTGGCTCATGCCTGCCCTGCTAGCTTGTCTCAGGAGGCTAAGATCTGAGCATCACCGTTCAAAGCCAGCGTGGGCAGGAAAGTCTATGAGACTCTTCTCTCCAGTAAACCATCCAGAAAACTGGAAGTGGCACTGTGGCTCAAGTGGTAGAGCGCTCGCCTTGAGCTGAAGAGCTGAGGGACAGCACCCAAGCCCAGAATTGTGTAACTGTAACCCTCAGTAAAGGTCATCAGAGGGTGTGGCATTATTCTAGATGTTTCTTAGGCAGATCAGATTCTTAAGTCAAGCCTTTACTCCGGGCGACCACCACATGCTTTCCTGTGAGGACGTCATCTTGAAGAGCTTTGAAGCTTAGGGATGATGTGGCTCGAGAAGTATTTACAGAGCCCTGGGTCAGGTATGTGTGGAGCCTGGATGTCTACCACAAAAGACTTCTGTTGCATCAGAAGGAACTAAGCAGCAGAGCCCGGTGGCTCACGCGTCACCCCAGCCACTCTAGAGGCTGAGATCTGAGGATCGCAGTTCTAAGCCAGCCCACTCAGGAAAGGCCGTGAGACTCTTTATCTCCTGTGAACCACCAAACACCAGCCTTGAGGGGAAAAAAAAGCCGAGGGACAGCACCCCGATCTTGAGTTCAAGAAGCCCCAGGACTGGCACACAAAAACAGAGCGCGGACAGCCATGTGCTCTGGGAGAATACAACACCAGCCTCCCCTCAACTGGGGCGGAAAAGTGAATGCAGGGAGCTAGTCTGCATCAGGGCTGAATAAATAGGCTTTGTAATGTCCAGCCCCGAGCACAGGACGCTGCCCTGGCTCTGGCGGCTTGTACACCAAGGATGACTTGGCCCAGAGGTTATACAGCTAACAGCAAATCCTTTCACTATTTTTTTTTCCTGCCTGGGCTGGCTTTGAACTGTGATCCTCAGATCTCAGCCTCCTGACTAGCTAGGATGACAGGCGTGAGCCACAGCACCCGGATGGTGGATGATTTTTTGAATGGGAGTGCTGCAGGTGCAGGTAAGCCAAGAGGCAGAGTGACCTCTGAATGGATGGCACCGGGCATCGGTTAGGGAGGGCAGGAAAAACAAAAAACCAAACCTGAGAGAAAACGAGCAAGATGAAACGCACCCGCTGTGAGGGAGCGGAGCTGTGGAAAGTGGCCTCTGGCTAAAGGCTGTGATCCTGGGCTTGGGAGTCCAGGAGAGGCCACGCCCCCGTCCCTCCCACCAGCCCAGACCTGCTCATTCCCATACCCAGTGCTCATTATCATACCCAGAGCTCATTACCATGCCCAGAGCTCATTACCATACCCAGTGCGTGCTCAGGAAGTTTCTCTTGTCTTTGGCCCAAGTCTGCCTAGCTACCCTTAAAAAAGAAAAATGGAGATTGGATCCCCCCACACCCCAACCCCTGGTTCTTCCTGGCTTTTTTTTTCCCCCCTTGTCATGCATAAAAAAATACATTCTTCATTTAATGGTGTATCACATTCTGAATATAAATGATGGAAAGAAAAGGAAAGCCAGGCTGGTTGTTTTTTTTTTTTCATGTACCCTCCATCTCCCTCCCTCCCCCTCCCCCCAACTGTACCTTGGCTTCTCTGGAAATTTCCTTTCATGCAGAGGAGCCCCTGCCCGGCTCTCCTCTGGGTGAGTTTCCATTTCCTTTCATCTCTGGCCTCTTGTCCAAGCTTCTAGAACATTCTCTGCCTTCTGGTAGGCTGTAGTCAAGCTAAAGAGGATTGCAGGGAGTTAGTGAGACCAGGGCCAAGTCTGGAGCGCGCGCGCGTGTGTGTGTGTGTGTGTGTGTGTGTGTGTGTGTGTGTCTCGTGGGGCCTGAACTCTGGGCCTGGGCGCTGTCCCTCAGCTCTTCAGCTCCAGGCGAGCGCTCTACCACTTGAGCCACAGCACCACTTCCGGTTTTTTCTGCTTATGTGGTGCTGAGGAATCGAACCCAGGGTTTTATGCATGTAAGGCAAGCACTGTACCACTGTACCAGCCCCAAGTCTGGAGCTTTTATTTTATATACCAATTCAGATTTCTGTGTGCCCTATGATTTTTCTTTTTTTATTTTTCAGTCTTGTCAGTTGTAGGACTTGAACTCAGGGCCTGGGCCCTGTCCCTAAGCTCTTTTACTCAAGGCAAGCGCTCTACCACTTTGAGCCATAGCTCCACTTCTGACTTTTGAGTAGTTCATTGGAGATATGAGTCTCACGGACTTTCCTGCCCTGGCTGGCTCTGAACCATGATCCTCTCATCTCAGCCTCCTGAGCAGCTAGGATGACAGGCATGAGCCACTGACACCTGGCCCTCCTCCTCCTCTTCTTTGTGGCTGTAATAGGGCTCGAACTCAGGGCCTCACACGTGCAAGGCGGGCGCCCAACCACGGGCCATGCACCCGGCCCTTCTTGCTTGCGTTGTTTTTCAGATTAGGCCTCGAGCCTTTTGACTTGGGCCTGCCTGGATCACACGATCCCCACTGTTTTTAGCTGGGATTCCAGGCGTGCTCCCGTGGACCCTTGGCCCAGGGAAGAAGGGCACCCGAAACAAGGGGCTGGGGTGGGGGGAGCAGAAGAGGGCCTGGGGAACGGAGCCCTGCTGTCTGTAGCTTGGGGAAACTGAGGGCTGCTGTCCCAGGCAGTGGCAGGCAAGGGGCTCATCAGAGATGCTTGTGCTCAACGGTGGTTGACTGAGGGGACAGAAGGATGATCGAGGCACGGGGAGGGGAGGTCCACGTGGAGGGCAGACTTGGCCACGGGTGTGGGCCAGACGGGGGGGGATGCTAGCGGGGAGGGGACGGTGGTGGGCAGATGGGCTCCTAGTGGAGTTGGGGTTTGGATGACCTTGTTGAGCTTCAATCAGCAAAGATCTGAAAACCCCGGGAGCCGGCCTGGGGTGGGGTGGGGTGTAGAGGCTGGGGAAGGAAGTGTGAACCTGACTCAGGGGTGCCCCTCCATCCCTAAGGCCTCCACACCCACCCCAGGCCGGCCAGCAGGCCAGCCGCTCCGGGGAAGCTGCCTGTTTCTGGGAATTGTGCAGAAGGGAAGGGCAGCTCTCGGAATGCATGGCGTTTCCTCTGGGTGGGCCAGGCTCATCCCCCCCGCCCCCCGCGAGGGTGTCCTCTGGGCACACCCAGCATCTTAGATGAGATGACACCAGCTACCCCCAACACTCGCTGAGCCCAACTTCTTTCTCACTGGCGTCCCCACTCCGGGAAGAGCTCGTGAAAACGGGCATCAGTGCACATGCCTGTAATCCCGGCTACTCAGGAGGCTGAGATCTGAGGATCGGGGTTCAAAGCCAGCCCCGGGGAAGAAGGAAGAGTCTGTGAGACTCTGATCTCCAATGAACTACTGAAAGAAAAAAAAAAAAAGCCAGAAGTGGAGCTGCGGCTCACATCTTGCAAAAGAAGCTCAGGGACAGCGCCCACGGCCCTGAGTTCAAACCTCAGGACCAGCACCAAAGCAGGCAACTACCAAAACCACCTCTGCACGGGTCATGAAGTGGCTGGGGCTGGGGCTCGTCTGGGGAAGAAGTTTCCAGTGTGAGCGATGGTGTGGGTTGCTGGCGGGGCAGGAGGGTGGGTGGGGCTGGGAGGGGAACCAGGTTGCCATGGGAACCAGCTCAGTTGCCTCCCCAGTCAACCGTGGCTGAGGAGCGTCATCCCGTTGCCAGGGGAACTATCCCCTCCGTGATGCGGACGGGGCGGTCCCCGTGGGCCTGTGGCTGCTGTACTGTGTGGCTTCTCTTTTGGATGACAGTTCTGGCCTTGAACTCAGGGCCTGGGCGCTGTCCCTGGGCTTCTTTTTTTTTTTTTTTTTGCTCCAAGGCTAGTGTTCTACCCCTTAAGCCGTAGCTCCACTTCCGGCTTTTTGGTGGTTCACTGGACGTAAGAGTCTCACAGGGACTTTCCCTGCCCTGGCTGGCCTCGAACCACGATCCTCAAGATCTCAGCCTCCTGAGCGGCTGGGATGACAGGCGGGAGCCACCGCCGCTGGCTGGCTCGGAGGACCCATGTGTTCCACGGTGGTTTTGGGGCTGTCTTGGTCGCCCTTTTCCCCCTGCCTCAGTCTCCCTTCCTTTGCCTCCCCAGGTCTAACGTTCCGGACACAACATGGCGACCAGCGCAGTCCCCAGCGACAATCTCCCCACGTACAAGCTCGTGGTGGTGGGGGACGGTGGGGTGGGCAAGAGCGCCCTCACCATCCAGTTCTTCCAGAAGATCTTCGTACCCGACTACGACCCCACCATCGAAGACTCCTACCTGAAGCACACAGAGATCGACAGCCAGTGGGCCATCTTGGATGGTGAGTCCCGGGGGTGGAGGTCTGAAGAGGGAAGGCTGGTGATCAGCTGCCGTGGACTCCTCCCTGCTGGGGCTCAAAGGCTCTGCGGAAGGACCGGAGGCAGGGCTGGGAAGGTTGGCTCAGTGGTAGAGCGCTCGCCTCACATGCATGAAGCCCCAGGTTCGATTCCTCAGCACCACAGACCCAGAAAAAGCCAGAAGTGGCGCTGGGTTTCAAATGGTAGAGCGCTTGCCTTGAGCAAAAGAAGTTCAAGGACAGCGCCCAGGCCCTGAGTTCAAGCCCCAGGACTGGCAACAAAAAACCAGAGGCATGGTTCAAGTGGTAGAGCACCCTCCATGAATGGAAAAGCCCAGCAAGAGTTGGAGGCTCAGTACTCCCCCCTTCCCCCCAACACACACACACACAAAGTAAGAAAGATTGGGGGCTGGGAAGGTGGCTCAGTGGTAGAGTGCTCGCCTTGAGCTGAAGAGCTGAGGGACAGCGCCCAGGCCCAGAGTTCAGGCCCCATGACCGACCCCCCCCCCAAAAAAAATGTAAGAAAGGGTTCAAGGCAGCTGGGTACTGATTGCTAGCATAATGCAGATCTTGGGGCTTGAACTCAGGGCCGGGGCGCTGTCCCTGAGCTTTTGTGGATCGAGACTAGTGTTCTACCATTGAGCCACAGCGCCACTCCACTCCCAGCTTTTTGGTGGTTCCTTGGAGAGGAGAGTCTCCCAGCCTTTCCTGACCTGGCTGGCTTTGAACTGCCATCCTCAGATCTCCGAGTCCTGAGTGGCTAGGATGGCGGGCGCCAGCCGCCGGCGCCCGGCTCTCTGCAAACACTTGTGAGCCCCCACTGCACACCTGGCCCTGTCTGGGGCTCTGCGGGAAGCGTGGGCTCCACTGTCACGAGCCTCGTGTTGTCTGTGTGGCGTGGGTGGTAGGAAGCTCTGGGGAGGATGCGAGGCCAGGCCAGGGGGAGAGGCCCGAGAGAAGCCGCGGCCGGCTCAGGTGCGCAGATCGCAAGAAACTAGAGGACAAAGGGGAATCTGCATGTGAGCTGTGAGAAGAGCATGTGCAAAGGTCCTGAGGCAGGTCTCTGTGTTGGAGAACAGGTGGAAGGCCAGGGCTTAACAGCAGGTGAGGGGGAGCCATGCAGGAGAGTAGGGGTGGCTAGGTGGAATTCAGAAGCTTCTGGAAGGTTCCCAGTGGAGAGAGGGACAAGATCTGGTGGGGAAATGGGGGCAGGGGGTGCCTGGTGGGGAGGAGAGGTGGAGTCTGTCCCAGTATTGCTATAAAGGGTATGAGGACACAGGACAAAGAAGAGGTCCAGGGAGGAGGAGAGGAGTCTGCAGAGAAGCGAATTTCGGGGGAAGGGGGTGCACAGGGGGAGGGGGAATCATATCTAATCCTGGACCTGTTCCGCGTGGGCTGCCTTTCACACCTCCCGGCAGAAGTCAAGGCAGCAGCTGGGTGTTCTGGGCCTGGAGAGGGAGATGTGGGGCTGGGTGGGGGAGGCAGGGAGTGTGGGAGGGAGAGATCACCAAGGAGACTGCGGCGGGGCGGGGCGGGGGGGCGAGAGCGCAGGCCGGAGCTTCACCCCCTGTAATGCCCGGCAACCGTGGAGGCCTTTGTTAGGAGGATGGTGGTTGAAGGCCAGAGTCAGCCCAACCCCATCTCAACCGAGACGCCAAGGGGTGGTGCACAGCTACACAATGCCAGCTACTGCCCGTAGGAGGATCGCAGTTCCAGTTGTAAGAGAAAGCAAAAAGAAACAAAAAGAGCTGGGGGAGCGGCTCAGGTGGTCTAGCACCTGCTTAGCAGGTACGAGGCCCCGAATTCACACCCAGGACCACCCCCTCCTCCCCCAGAGAACAGCCTGGCCTTATTGTTCACCCCCAAGTAGAAGGACTGGGGGGGGTGTCTAGCGACAGCCAGTCCTCTGGCCTGCTGTGTTCTCTCTCTCATGAACCCTACCACGTCCCCCACAGCGAGTGACCAGCCCAGGTCCAGCGCGCTGCCCTCCATCCCGCCCCCCTCAGACGAGCAGACTCCCCTCCCCGGCTTTCTAGGCTGGCCCAGTGCAGCCTGAGCCACTCACCCAGCCCTGGCTTTGGCCGCTGGCTCGTAGGGTAGGGTCTCACCCCCTTCCAAGCCTCCGCCCCCAGGTCCCCCAGCTCGGGTGGTCGCTGGGGCTCCAGCTTCCGTTCTGTGAAGATGGAGTCTCATGGGCTGGACCCACAGTCCTCCCGACTCTGGCCTCCTGCCTAGCCCAGAGGACGCACACGGACCGTTGCGTCCAGCCCAGCAACGTTCGATCATGGGGCTTGAACTCTGGGCCTGGGCGCTGTCCCTCAGCTCTTCAGCTCAAGCCGAGCGCTCTACCACTTGAGCCACAGCGCCACTTCTGGTTTTCTAGTGGTTTATTGGAGATCAGAGTTTCATGGGCTTTTCTGCCCGGGCTGGCTTTGAACCGTGATCCTCAGATCTCAGCCTCCTGAGTAGCTAGGGTGACAGGCGTGAGCCACCGTCGCCCGGCTTGCTGGTTATTTTTGTAATCGGGTCTCCCAAGACTTTTCTGCCCAGGCTGACTTCAGATCATGATCCTCCTAGATCTCGGCCTCCTGAGTAGCCGGGATTACAGGCATGAGCTACAGGCACTGGGCACTTTGGCCTTTTTTTTTTTTTCTTTTTTCTGTACCCTTCAGTTTATAAACAAATGCCGGGTCTGTCTTGTTGAATGATCCGGCCTCAGATTCCGTTTCGTGGTGTCTGCTGTGGCCAGCACATGGCTGGCTCGTCCGCGTCTTCCGCGTCTTTCACTTCTTGCCTTTTCTTCGTCCTGTGGCTTTCCGTGCATCTTTTGTGAGTAGCAAACGCGGACTTTGTACTCCGGATCTGCTTCTCATAGGTGACATTTATAGTTGTTCCCTCCCCCCTCCAGCTCCCTCCCCCCACCACCAGGGGGCGCCCCATCCCAGCAGGGGAGAGACCCCCATGCCCCATGCCCTCCCCCAGGCTGCGCCTCCCCCGGATCAGGGCAAGCACCTGCACCCCCGCCTGCAGCCCCTGCGTGACCCCATCCCCCCCGTCCCCCCTTGTCCCCCCAGTTCTGGACACGGCCGGACAGGAGGAGTTCAGCGCCATGCGGGAGCAGTACATGCGCACCGGGGACGGCTTCCTCATCGTCTACTCCGTCACCGACAAGGCCAGCTTCGAACACGTGGACCGCTTCCACCAGCTCATCCTGCGCGTCAAGGACAGGTGAGGGGGACCTTCCTCCTCCTCCTCCCCCTCCCTCCTCCCTCCTCCTCCTCCCTCCTCCCC